GGGGGGGGGGTGGCAGATATCTTTTAGTGTTTTTGTTTCCTTTGGATATATACCCAGAAATGGAATTGCTGGATCATGTAGTAGTTATATTTTTATTTTTTTGAGGAAACTCCATACTGTTTTCCATAGAGGTTATACTGATTTACAGTCCCACCCACAGTGCACAAGGGTTCTCTCTTCTCCATATTCTCACCAGCATTTGTTTGTTTCTTGTTGTTTTGTTTGGTTTTTGGGTGCTAGCCATTCTAACAGGCCTGAGGTGAGATCTTGTTGTGCTTTTGATTTCCCTAATGATTAATGATGTTATGTACCTTTTCATGTACCTGTTGGCCATTTGAATATCTTCTTCAGAAAAATGTCTATTAGGTCCTTTGCCCATTTTTAAAAATTGGGTTGTTGTTTTGCTATTTAGTTGCATGAGTTTTTGTATATTTTGGATATTAACCCCTTATCAGATACATGATTTGCAAATATTTTCTCCCATTCTCTGGATTGCCTTTTCACTCTCTTCAAAATGCTCCTTGATGTACAAAGTTTTTAATTTTGATGTCCAATTTATCTATTTTTCTTTTTTTTGCCTCTGCTTTTAGTGTCTTAAGTCATTGCTAAATCCAATGTCATGAAGCTTTCTTCCTATGTTTTCTTCTAAGATTTTTATTGTTTTAGCTCTTACATTTAGGTCTTTGATCCTTTTTTTTTTTTTTTTGGTTTGTTTTTTGTTTTTATGTGTAAGGTACAAATTTAGCTTTTTTGTGTGTATGGATATCCAGTTTTCCCAGCACCATCTGTTAAAAAGACTGTCCTTTCTTTTTTGAATGGCCTTGGCAGCCTTGTCAGAAGTCATTGGATCATATATGTGAGAGTTTATTTCTGGCCTGTTTATTTTGTTGGTCTGCTAGTCTGTTTTATGCCATCACCACACTTTAAAAAAAAAAAATGTTTTTATTGATTTTTTTAGAGAGAGGAAGGGAGAGGGAATAGAGAGATAGAAACATTGATGAGAGAAAAACATTGTTCGGCTGCCTCCTGCACACCCCCTAGTGGGGATGGAGCCCCAGAACCCAGGCATGTGCCCTGACTTGGAATTAAACCAGTTACCTCTTGGTTTATGGGTCGACCGTCAACCACTGAGCCTCACCGGCCAGGCTACCGCACTATTTTGATTACAGAAGCTTTGAGGTAAGTTTTTGAAATTAGATCTCCAGCTCTGTACCTCTTTTTCAGTACTGGTTTGGTTATTCCGGGTCCCTGGAGATTACATATGAATTTTAGGGTGAGATTATGTATTTCTGGGGAAAGACATCACTGGGATTTTTATTTTTTTCAGTGTAGAATTTTTATATTTAGAATTAGCCATCTGGACTCAGTTTAGATGATCCCAATTTTGTTGGCAACATCCAAAGCATCCTCGTCAGGAGCCAGGTGAACATATGCCTTTTTCTCTCCATCAGGCCTGTCAGGGTGTTGACCTGGGCCACGTCAGTGTCATAGAGCTTCTTGGTTTGATGCGGTGCGTGTTGGCCTTGACATCTACAATGAACACAAGTGTATTGTCCTCTGTCGTCTTCATGGCTGACTCGGTAGTCGGGGAATTTGCTGATGGCTCAGTAGTCAAGCTTGTTTCTCCTGGGTGCGCTTTTCTGAGGATACGTAGGCTGCCTTTGGAGCCTCAGTATCTTCAGCCACTGGAAAGTGGGTAACATGCGGATCTTCTTTTTTGTGTGGCTGTGGATGCCCTTCAGCACTGCTTTCTTTGCTTCCAAGCCTTTGCTTTGGCTTCAGCTTTGGGAGGGACAAGGGCTTCCTTCTTTGCTTTTGGTGCCATCTTCGTAAAAAGGATTTCCAAGAACCATCATTGGGGTTCGATAGGGATTGCATTGGATCTGTAGATTGCTTTGGGTATTAGTCACATCTTAATATTAAGTCTTCCCGTCTATGAACACTAGATGTCTTCCCATTTATTTTTGTATTATTTAAATTTTATTTTAGCTATGGTTGNTCTATGAACACTAGATGTCTTCCCATTTATTTTTGTATTATTTAAATTTTTTTTTTTAGCTATGGTTATAATTTTAGTGTACAGATCTTTCACCTCCGTGATTAAGTTTATCTCTAAGCATTTTATTCTCTTCGATACTATTATAAATGGAGTTATTTTTCCTAATTCCCTTTTCTGATTGTTCATTTTTATCTTTGTCCATTTTTAAGTTGGGATATTTGTCTTTTTATTGAGTTGGAAAAGTTCTTTATATATTCTGGATACACAATTCTTAATTAGATATATGATTTGAAGTATTTTTTATTCTGTGGGTTGTTCTACTTTATTAGTATGAACTCTTTACATAAAGTATGAAAACACTTCTCTAAAATTGTTACCTTTAAAATGATAGGAAATGCTAAGGTATTTTATAAGAATACACTTTATTAAAATATTAGACTTAACCATTTCTCTATTTATAAAATGTGGTAGTTAGTACATTTTATAAAATAATATTGTCATGAAAAGTCTCTTTATGGACCCTATCTAATATCCTGGAAAACATGATATATTAGGTGAAAGGAGTATAATAACATAAGCAACTATATTGTATAAATAAAACTGTTTTTAAAAAAATCTCAAACTTATGCATAGAAAAAATGATTAGAAAGAAATACACCAAAATGTTTATAGTGATCATATAATGACTAGGACATGAGTATTTTGTTTTTTTTAATTTTATTCTGTGTGTGTTTTTAGATTGTATTTAAATATTTTTATTACAATTTTTAAAGAGAATGTAGGAAATTTTATGGCTCATGGGAAAATACACACGTAATGACATAGGTGTCACTTCATATGTATCATTGGACCATCATCCTAGCGGTTAGAACAGCGCTGTATTCCATCCTGCCTTAGGGTAGACTAAAGAACACGCGTTACCATCTCCCCTCCCAGCGTGCTACACATCCTGGTAAAACTAAGGATCAAATCTCTAATTCTGTCCTGCAAATTGCCTGCATTCTTCATTGTTTCTACTGTCTTGTTAAGTTTTATAACTGAATTGGCCCAGTGATACTGGACTTGTATATAGTATTACCAATATATTTGAAATTCCTAGTAGGTCAGTAGACAGAGTAAATATGAGCTATGTTGCTTTTTTTTGCTGTTTAATATTGACTTTAGGAGATCATTTGCTTTATTGTAAACCACTATTTCAATAGTGGTATGTCTTAGCAGTCTAGTACTTTAGAAAATAACATTCTATTTCTTATAAATAGCAAAAGTAATTTAAAAGCATCTAGGTCTGTTGCGGAAATTTTTTCAGTGGGCTTTGGAAGAATGTACTATCCGATATAATTTAAATAATATCTTTGTTAACATACATTAGTTTGATCACACGAATCAATTTGGTTTAAAACCCCCAGGTAATTTACTTAAAGATCAGTTACAGAAGTTAGAAGTATTCTTTGTTAGTTGTGGACTGGAGGTTGTTTAGGCAACCATTAATTATTGTGATTAGTTGAATCGTAGTGTTCAATTTATTGTAGTTACTTAGTATTCACTTACTGTAGACAAAACTGCTGTGTCATAAAAATTCCTACGTTGTACTTTTCTCTATTGTAGAAATTCAGTTGTAATTAGTAATTTGTGAAAGGGCTATAATAAAATAAAGTCTTGGTTTAATTATAGCTAAAAATAATTTCTCTTTTTTAGGAGTTGGTAATGCTTCTTTTAGAATATAATGCTGATCCCACTGTTGTTAATGGGAGTGGACAGAGAGCAAAAGAAGTCACTCATGATAAAGAAATTAGAAACATGCTAGAAGGTAAATATTATGGATCTTAACATAATTAGCATTTACTTTCATTATAGTCAAGGTTCAGAATATGAGTAGAAATTGCTTCTAACATGCCAAAATAGATGGCACTGGGCCTGTGTGCTAAAGATAGTGTAATTTGAGAGTCATTGATTAGACACAAAATTATCTATATCAGAATTTCCTCAAAGCTTTCAAACTCTTAACTTGATAGAACACCATGGCAAGTTTTTAAAAACTGTATATCAAATCTCCAACAAAATTAAAAGTAGAAAATTAGAGATGTGAAGGAGTATGGCTGATAGGCTGCAGAAGCATGACCATGGAGGAGTGCAGAGTACAGGACAGAGAAACTACAGAGGCATGGCTATTGGGAGTCATTTGATATTGGAGAAGATAGCTATGGCCAGTTCCATTAGCCAGCTGCTAGTAAATTCTTGATGATCAGCTTCATTGTTATAAACTTCAAAGATTAAATTGCACTCAAGACATATGAGTCTGCAGTAACTCAGAGGGATTTCTTAAAAGAGTTTAAGATAATACACACACACATACACACATACATATTTATTTTTTGTTAATCCTCACCTGAGCATTTTTTTTTCATTGATTTTTTTTCCCCCCAGAGAGAGTGGAAGGCAAGGAGGGTGGGAGGGAGGAAGAGAGAGACATCAATGTGAGAGAGACACATCGAGGGGGCTAGTCTGGGTGTGGAAATAAAAACATGAGAACAGAAGATGGTTGTATATAGTAATGTTAGTAGTTTCTTAAGGCAAAGCTAAACTGTTCCAGCTATTTCTGGACTCAAGAGATGTGTTCCCTGTAGTTGAAATGTGATGGCATGCAGTGTTTCATGTAACAGCGCATAGTAAATACTAACTACTAGTAAATGTTCATTATTTCATAGAAAGACCTGAGCAGCCTTCTGTAGTCCCTTCTTTCAGCATTTGCACAGGACATTGTACATGTTTTAAGTGGGATAACTAAGCCTTTCTATGAAATTGCTTCTTTTCTGTAAGCCAAGGCAATTCAACTCTATCAGAGCTGAGACCTCATTACATATTCCAGCCGCTTAAATCAGATTGCCCATTGCTCTCATTCCCTGCAAGTATGATTTGGGGAGCTGCATGGGGTGGTGATAGGAGCATGGCCTCTGGAACCAGCCCACCCAAGTTCAAATCCTAGCTCTTCTACCTCTTGGCTGTGTGACTTTAGTTAAGTTCTTTAATCTCTTTGGCCTCAGTTTCTTCATCTATAAAATTGGATAATAGTAACACTTAATAGAGTAGTTATGAGGATTTAATACTTTTAAAGTGCTTAGAATAGCACTTGGCACATAGTTAAGTGCTATAGTATTTGTTAAAGAAGTAAATTTGTATTCTTATGTGGAAGTATGTAAGTATGTATACATCTAAATACATTTATATGGTTTGTACATTTTCCTACCAATGCTATTTCTTCTTGTTACTTTTCACATTCTAACGTTCTGGAAGGCACGGCCCCCTCTACCCATTTATCTACCTTTCCAAGGCAGATGTGTAATACTATTTCAGCATAAGAAAATAATTCATAATTATTTGTGATGCTATTATAGTGAGTAATATACTTAAAGACTTCTGAATTGAAAACATTCATTTGAACCTGAAAGAAGTTGAAATCTGAATCTGAAATGTAAGGCAATGAGAATAACAATAACGGCAAACTGATTTGAATTACAGTCCAAAACATTGTGACTTTTCTCACCATGACCTCTTTCTTCTTTATACATCTTTGTAATGAATTGGCTACTAGGATCCCGACTAACTGGAATAATATATCTATATTTTTTCCTTTTGCAGCTGTAGAAAGGACTCAACAAAGAAAGCTTGAAGAGTTACTTTTAGAAGCAGCAAGAGAAGGCAAAACAGCGGAACTTATAGCTCTGGTAAAAAATAAAAAAAATAAAAAGCATTATTTCTTTACTTTGCACTTCAGGAAAATTTTTACTTAATGATAACTTTATAATTTTAGTAGCATTGTGGGACATAAATACTCAAGATCATAATAATAGAACAAAAGTCTTTAAATATCTAAAAGCACTTAGCATGGTAATAGTTTACTCAGGCTACATTTTAAATGTTGATTTTTTTCTCTGAGTGTCTGATATGCATCCTCACCCCCTACTGAAAACCTGATGGATTAAGAATCTGACTTTTCAAGGCAAGTATTTGAAGCATAATGTGTAGGGTCTTATAAAGGAATAGGGTTCTCTAATTTCGATATGCAGTTTCTGGGAGGTGTGCTAAACTTCTAGAAAGTAACATACAAATGAGGGACAGTATTTTGGAGTATTTATATCATGTTAGAACAGACTGAAAGCTTTACCCACTTTCTTTCTTCTTAAGAGCCCTATTTTCCAGTTTCCATTTCCTGCAGAGCTTCATTAAACATGAAACTCTAAATTGGCTCTAAATTCAAGACTAAAGCATTGACATTTGCTTTAAAGTTATTTCAGCTCATTTGAAAGGCCTCTTTGGTTTCCAAACATAGTGTCTAAAACATTTTTTAACTTTGTGAAATGGAAACTATATAAAGAAGTTTTTAAAGTAGTGAGCTGGGAACCAAAAATGCAGTTGAAGTTCAGCATTTATACTTTTAGCACTTACGGTTCTAACTCTTCTCAGTGACTCTCTGGTAGACACAATCTATAATTTCACTGTTGCAGTGTGAATTGCAAGACTGGCAGGAACAAGCAATCTTACTGCGGGTAGGGTGACACTGGTGTAGTGTGTGGTGTCTATTGTCAGGGGAGTGTGGGACTTGGGATTCCTTGGCACCTTGAGGACAGCATGGGGAGTGAATGCATTGGCTGGTTTAGTGAGCAAGAAGCTGACAGCTCCAGATGCCAAGGAGCCCTCTCTATGCCAGGCTCTGTGGTATGAGGCTTCACCTGAACGCTCTTACACCTTCGTGTGTTTTATGGGAGAAAGTCTGTCTTTCAGATATAATTCTGCATTGCATTTCTTCAATTGTTAGCTCAACAGACCCAATCCTCCTGACGTTAACTGCTCGGATCAGCTAGGAAATACTCCCTTGCATTGTGCAGCTTACCGGGCTCATAAGCAGTGTGCCTTAAAGCTTCTAAAAAGTGGAGCAGACCCTAATCTGAAGAACAAAAATGGTAAGCATGTTGGTGAAAGCCATTGTTGGCCATTTTCAAGGTATAAAAAGAAGTCAATACCATATAAAATTGTTTTGTTTTAGTATCTAGCCTTTGTTAAACTATGTGATTCCTACTTAATTTTGAAGTCAAGGCATTCACACAAAAGAAAAAATAGCTTTAGTAATTTACTTCCTAGTTAAGACTTAAATGTTTGATAATGCCTCCTCCATAGGAAGCGCTAATGACTAAGGTAGATTTCTACCCTCACAGGAAAGATAAGTATGGTTGAGTCTCATTATCTGTACTGCTCACATTCCCTAAGGTTGTTGTGAACACTGAATTAATGAATGCTGAACCATAGTTCCGGGGGTGGTACAGAGTTACATTCCTGCAAGCTTCTGGTCACAATATTTTTGTCTACTGATCAGTACGTCACCTTGTTCTATGTGTTTCTATTAAAAAACTCCTTATTTCATGTATATTATTGATTGATTACCACTGAGCTCACTGCCAACAGCACTGGAACACAGGCCTGAGCAAAGCTTATCTAACACACACATGTTCCCCATAGGGCACATCACAGCCTTCTTGTGCTTAGGAACACTGGACACTGCTTTACCACCGTGCTTGGCAGCTAGCTTCAACAGCAAAATCACAGATAAAAGGCCAAAAATATGAAAAATGTGACACTAGACCCTGATGAGAACTCTTGTTTATTGTATGAGAACTGAAATAAGAAGGCAGGGATCACCTTCTCTGCCTTGGCTGGGAACATGTGCATTAGAAGACTCACATTTTCACCACTCTGGACATGCCTGTGAATGACTGAGAATCTGCCATGAGTATTAATTGGAGGGTTACAAAAAATTTAGCAATAGGCAATTTTATAAGTATGCAATTGATAAAATTTAAAGAGCATCAACCATACATGCATGAGAGTATCAAAGACTGAGTGGGATGATGAGGAGAGAAGCTCCGAAAGGCGTCCTAGGTATTCATTCAGGGGGGGAACACTCCATCAGGGCTTTTATGCATCATTCATTAGGATGCTTCCCTCTGCCCGTCACCGGCGTGGATTAGGGCTTGTCAGTGGTACCACAGCACCCTGTGTTCACCTCCATCGTAGCCTAAATCAGACTCCATGGTAATTGTTGGCATATGTAGCTGTCTCCCATTAGACCGAACTCTTAAGGGCAGGGCTGATATTTTACTGTCTGTTTTACCCAGCACCTAGAGTAAGGTACAGCACATGCTGCCTTATACATGGTGCGTGTTTGTTGAAGGTCTGGGTAAAGAAATAGCTTTACAGGGAACAGGTATATGATATGGGCCCTGAAGCCCTAATAGCGTTTTAAAAAATCATCTCTAAATACTTCTGTTTGTATCTCTAACAAAAGCCTCCCCACCCTGAATTTTTTTTTTTTTTTTAAATAAGCAATACCATTATTATCTAGTAAGATATTGATAAGCAGGAAGCTGGGAGAGGGTATCCCACACAGAGGGAAGATGGTGAGAAAGACAATAAGGTGAAAAATGCAAGTCAAGCCCGGCCGGGCGTGGCTCAGCGGTTGAGCATCAACCTAGGATCCAGGCGATCAGGGTTCGATTCCCAGTCAGGGCACATGCCCCGGTTGCGGGCTTGACCAATGACTCTCTCATCATTGATGTTTCTATCTCTCTCCCTCTCCTTTCCTCTCTCTGAAATCAATAAAGATATATTTTAAAAAAAAAGAAAAAAAAAGAAAAATGCAAGTCAAGTTTAGGTGACATCCCCAGCCCGGCGCATCCAGGTGCCTGCAGGGGAGCAGTACCAGGTGATCCTGGTGATGCGCCTTAGGCCCGTGCTGTGGAAAGCCTTGAAATGCCAGACTACTTACCCCTTGATTTAAAGGGCAAGGGACCCTGGAGAAGAAATAGGTGAGCAGTGGAGGGATGAGGTGCTTTCAAAAGATTAACATGGTTGCAGTATCTGGGATAGGTTGCGACAGGCCCAGGACTACAGGGAGGGATCAGTAGGACCATTGAAGTAGTTTCAGGTGAGAGGTAATGAGGACCTGAACTTTATTGACGACATCGGTGAGAATAGGAGGAGAAAGATAATTACAGAATTTCCTGCTTGTCCTCTCTTCCCTTGACTGGCCCTTATCCTCTAGGCTAGCATTACCCAGGAGATAGATAGATAGATAGATAGATAGATAGATAGATAGATAGATAGATAGATAGATAGATAGATATGGCATTCACATATGTAATTTTAAATTTTCTAGTAGCCACAGTAACAAAGTACAAGGAAACAGAATGAAATGAATTTTAATAATGTATTTTATTTAAAGCAATATACCTAAAATACCATGTCAACATGTAATCAACATAAAAAAAAAATTAGTGATTATTTTACATTCTTTTTAGTATTGTGTCTTTGAAATCTTAACGTCGCATCTCAGATTCCAGGTCCTGAATAGCCCCATGTGATTAGTGCCCACCGTGCTGGACAGTGCAGCTCTAGACATACCTGTTTGAGGCTCTCTGGTTAACCATACTGCCCTAACCCTGCGTATGCTTTTCTCTGCCAGAAATGCCTTTTTCCTGCTTGTCCATCTGGTAAACAAACCCTAGTCTCACTTTGAGTTAGCTCCAACTCTCTTCCCCAGAGAGGCTTTCCTTGTATCTCTTAGATATAGGTTCTTAGTGGAATAAAAGTTAGAAGAAAAGTTGGGGCATGGAAAAGGGAGGCACTCAGGAGACAGGAGAGAAATACCAGTTCCATGGAAGCCAAAGGAAGAGATAAAATGCAGAGTAAAGGAGTAGGATGTTTTCGTTGTCATTTGCAGCTTAGACTGAGGATCAGCAGTGAGCAAAGGCCATGGAATCCAGTGACTCAGTGCCCAGGGGTCCTTCCTGAAAGAGCAGTTTCCACAGACCATTGAGCAAAAGCCAGGCTAGGGGTTAAGGATTGAGTAGGAAATGAAGAAGCCGAGGCAGCGCTACTTGTCTTCTACTTTGCAGTATTTAAGAACAGAAAGAATGGCTCCTTGGCCAAGTGGAAGACTTTTTAGGTAAAGAGAGACTTAAACATGTTTAAAGTTAAGGAAGACTTAAGGCAACAGAAAAAGAGCTTGATGATTTAATTGTGACAGAAAATGTAATTTTTAAAAAGGTAATAGCAAAAAAAATAGAAACATACTTGATAAAAGATGCTTAGTTTTCTATGGAGGCAATTGATACACGCAACCGAAGGGCAAAAAAGAAAACCTGAAAAATGGAGAGACCTACCATGTTTTTGGTGGGAAAAACTTAGCATTGAAAGGCTAACAGTTCTCCCCAAATTAATTTGTACATTCAGAGCAATTCCAGCCAGAGTCCTCAGAGGGTTTTCATGGAACTTGACTCGCTGATTCTACATTTATATGCCATTAAAATCCTACTTTTTATCAGGCATCAACAGTTTTTCCATATTGTTCTTGGAAACATGATCTTCATGACTTGCCTTCTAGATAGTAGTATTTCACATGGATATAATATAATTTTTGCCCCCAAACTCCAGTGTTAAGGACAACAATTATTTATTTTTTCTATGACTAAATTTTTTTAGTCTTTTTTTTTTTCAAACAAGGATGTTTAAAATTTTTAATCAAATTTGTTGAGCCTCTTCTTTGATTTCTTCTAGCCCTTCTAAGCTTAGGTAGAGATTTAGTAAATATTCTGCTGTTTTTCCCTAGTTTATCTGTAATCACATTCATTCATTCAGCAAATCTGAGCTCTGCTGTGTGCCAGGAACTGTACACGCTGGAGCTCCAATAGCGAACAAAACCCAACAGTCCCCATGCCCTTGGAGCTTATATTCTGGTGGCAGGAGATGGACAAAACATAAATGCACATATAATGCCCCGTGATAAGGTGCAGAAAATTATAAAATCGGATGAAGGAGAGTGATGGCTGTGGGGAGGAGCTGTTTTGGAAGGAGGGCGCAGGAAGGCCTCCCTGAAGTGACTGAACCGAGTGAGGGGGTGAGCCCGGAGGGTGTCTGGCAGAAGAGCACTGAGAGCAGCGGGCAAGCCACGTGTGAAAGCTCTGGGGTGGGACAGCGCTTGGCATATTTGAAGAAGAAAGCTGCCAAGGCGCCTAGAGCGGGGGGAGGTAGGTAACCTCAGAAAGGTAGCCAGAGGCCCAGCCCTGCTGGAGGGTTTTGAGCAGGAAAAGTGACGTGAGGGTGTATGTCAGGATGGGACACATTTGCTAATCACTTATCTTTACACTTACCCTTCATCACACGTCTTTCCCTTTCCATTGTTTTGTTACGCCTTCCTCATACATTTGAAGAATTTACTTGCTTTTTGTTGAGTTTTCTGTTCTTATTGCCTCATCTGTTTCTTCCTTTGCTAGTATTTCACTTTTAATGGTTGTTTTTGTAATATATATATATTTGTTTTAAGTATATCTTTATTGATTTCAGAGAGAGGAAGGAAAAGGGAGAGAGAAACATCAATGATGAGTCATTGATCGGCTGCCTCCCGCACACCCCTACTGGGAATCAAGCCTGCAACCCAGGTATGTGCCCTGACAGGAATCCAGCTGAGATCTCCTGGATCATAGGTCGATGCTCAACTGCTGAGCCACGCCCGGCCCAGCTATTTTTGTAATATTTTAATATCTGATAAGGTTTCCCCTTGCCACTCTTCTTTTTTGAGGGTTTTCTGGGACATTTTCATCTGTTTATTCTTCCAGATGGCATTTAAAATAATTTTCATAGATTCTTAGTAAAAATACTGTTGGCATTTAATTGAAATTGCATTCTTTGTAAATTAATTTGAGGCGTGTTGACATTTTTACTCAGTTTTCTCATTAAGGGAAAAATCTGTCATGTAAAATTTAACTATGGGATCATTCCTGTTTTTTACTTTACTCTGTTGTGGTTGATAGGAGATGTAGTGCTATTCTGAAACGACCTGTGTGATGCCCATCCAGGTAGGGAGGCTATTTCATTCAGTTCAAAAGCATTTTGTTGATTCTTACTGTGTGCCAGGCACTTTTGGCATTGAATGCAGAAATGAGGGCTCTGTGCTGGGAATTCAGCTTGCTGGCAGGAGTTCAGAATTTATTTTGGTATTAGGGCAGAATTCTATGAAAGAAATCACACTGTCGTCCTCCTCTCTGCCTACAGGAATAATTTCTCAAGCGCCCTATAGATAGGATGAAAATAACAGAGTTGGTAGACCTTTTTATAAGACAAAAATTCTTACGTGCTAGCTAGAAAATATAAAGTGATTATTAATTTCTCAGTTACCATTATAAAAAGGTTTTTCCCCACTAAAGAATATATGGTCAGCCCCAGTTTTACCCATTAGCATTTCTGTAACTCTACCTTTAAAATAAACCTTAAGCCCATCAACTTCTCTCCATATTTACTACTGTCTGTATTTTGCTACTAACTCTCTAGTCCAGGCCACCAGTATCTTTCACTTAGACTATTATTATTGCTTTTCTCTTGCCCACATTTACAAGCTATTTTCCACAGCAGCAGCCACAGTGATAGTTTATAAAAAACTTTATTATAGAAATCATCAAAGCTTTAAAAATAGAATAGTGTAATTAATTGATGTACACATTACCCTCTTTCAGGAATTATCAATAATGATCACTCTCCTAATACGTTATTTCATCTATATATATTTTATATCTATAGAAGAGAGGGCTCCTTAAAAAACCAACAAAACATGACCATATGATAGTTGCACAACTCTGAGTATACTAAAAAGCATTGAATTATACACTTTAAATGGAGGAGTTGTATGGTATGTGAATTACATACTGACAGAACTATTAAAAAACGTAGCCATGACAGCAAGATCCTGTTAGTAATATTAGTTTCTAAGAAGCATCAAATAGCCAAAGTTCACATTTCCCCAATTATCCTTACAATTTTTTTAAAAATACTTTGACAGAGTTTTAAACATACTCTTCCATTTAAAACCCTTCAGTGGCTTTACATCCTATTTAGAATAAAATTCACACTCCTTATACTGGTTCACGGAGGTCTGACCTGCAAAGCCCTGCATGATGTGGCTCTGTCTACCTCTCTGACTGTATCTCTTGCCCACTAAATAGTTCCTACCTCAGGGCCTTTGCATTAGCTGTTCCCTCTACTGGAATACCTTTCCTATATTTTCACAAGGCTTGCTTCTTCCTTTCAGTTTAAACATATCTTCCTCAGGCTTTCCCTGATTTGTCCCCCAGTCTCCAATGTAAACTGGTATCCCAGTCATTCTCTGTCAAATGACTCACTTAATAAACCATGCTATGCCAATTTTTTTTTTTATCTACTATCTATCCTTTATATTCATTTATTGTCTTTCTCTTTTTCCACACCCACACCCATTTTTTTCTATCGTGTTCACTGCTAAGTCCCCAGTGCCTAAAATATTAATTAGTGCATAATAGACTCTCATTGGGAGATGTTTAGACAAAAAATTGCCCAACACATACCAGGTGTTTGGTATTTATAAAAAGGGGTTTGTACATTGAGGCCTGCGCAGGTCCCAACCTGTCTGTGGTTTGGGGTTGCTATCTGCCTCATAAAGCAAAGTCGAAGCTTGTCTTCTGGGAAGGTAAAGTCATCTTCTCCCCTGAAAAAGCCTCCTACATAGATGGTCTTGGCATCTTCCAGGAACAGGAGGGCAGGGATCAAGGCCTCATGAGGCTGGATCTTCAGGTGAGGTAGAGAAGATTGTGGTTATAACCAGAAAGTCTGGGGTGTAGTTACCTGCAGAATACCTTACTGTTAACCCAGCCTGGGCTTCATGGTAGTCAAAGGAATGGATTCCTTAATAATAAAATAATGATACAGTTTTTTAAAAAGGTTATTTGTAGAATACATCGCCTTACTGCACAAACAGAGTTTCAGCCTGGTGTGCTATTTTGGAAGGGCTGTTTTTGTTTTAATTTTTTATGTGTAGCTTTTGTTTCTCTAGCAATCAGAGCTATCTGAGGTTATGAGGAGATTTTTTTTTTTTTTTCCCAGCTTGCATCCTTCTTGCAGTGTCCTGCTCACTTCAGAACTCAGCAAATAACTTTGACAAACAAATTCTGTTTTTGTTGTTTGGCAAAACCTAGAGTGCTGGCACGTGTAAGGTTGAGGAAGTTACCCTCATATCTTGCTGGTTTCATTCTCCATTGTCACGCTTTCCTTTAGTCCTCAGCGTGGACCGTCATGCCCTTAGCTTGTGAGCTTCCTCTGCTTCCTGTTTGCCAGTGGGGTCGCTTTAGCGTGGTGGTGGCAGGCTGAATAGTGGCCCCACGAAGATGTGGTGTGGCTAGGTAACTTGAGATAGGGAGATGATTCTGAATTATCCAGGCATGCCCAGTGTAATCACACGGATTCTTACAGGGAGAAGGCAGGAGGATCAGAATATCAAGAGAAAAATGTAAGGATGGAAGCAGAGACTGGAATGAGGCCCTTTGCAGAGGAGGGAGGGATCTCGAGTCAAGGGATGTATGTAGGTGGCCTTTAGAAGCTGGAGAAGGCAGGGAAACGGATTCCGACTTCCTAAACTGTAAGAGTTAATATGTGCTATTTTGAGCTACGAAGGTTGTGGTAATTTGTTATAGCAGCCACAGGAAACTAATACAGTGACTTAGGTCAGGAAACCTTGAATGACCACAGAACTTGTACTGAGTGTTCCGAATGAAGTTAATCTGATTTGCGGGCTTAATAGCTAGCTACGAAAAGGAGGCCATAAAGAATTGAGATGGCAACTTCAGGCTGCTAATTTTGGGAGAGAAGAAAAAGGTGGAGTTGATGGGATAATGAAAGAATATTATGCGCTGCAATTGCAGCATCAATTTATAGTGCAATTAAGCTCTTGACAGCCTTTTGTCCTTGTATTTTACACAGATCAGAAACCCCTTGACCTTGCCCAGGGTGCTGAAGTGAAGCACATTCTTGTTGGTAATAAGGTATGTAGTAATGGATTACATTTATATAGTAATTTTTATTAAAAGTTTTTGAATTCTTAAAATCTATAGATGCATTTTTAATGAAGATATGTTTTGCAATAGGTCCTCTACAAAGCACTGAAACGATATGAAGGCCCTCTCTGGAAGGTAGGTTGGGATGCCTTTTTAATTATAAAACTGGGAGGAATTCTTAGGTGTTCTGTGTTTGTTGAAATTTTCAATTATTTCTGAAGTATATGTCATTTAATCATTCTTGGATTTTCTAATGCAGCCATTTTTGTACTGCTGGACTTCCTTAGGCATCCACTTGTGGCAATTACTATCTTTTGTATCTTGGTCACTTTTAGGTGACCAAGTTTGCACAGAACAGAATTGGGGAAAATATATTTTTTCTTAATCATAGAAATTACAGTATTATTTTTGTTATGAACATTTAACTGTGGAGGGCTTAGGAAGAATTTAATGTTTGAATTGTCACAGAGCACACATATAAAGTCTTTCTGGTTCTAAAAATTTCTATGCTTTCAGTTATTTTGTATAATTAACTATTTTAGAGCATGTGATATCTTCACTTGCAAGCACTCCCTCTATATGTTTATGTACATGTTTGCTTATATTGTAGAAAATAAATTAGGATAATTCTCTTTTTTCAGAAGTTCATTCAGGAAATTGTCTTTGAGGAAATTGTCTTTGAAGCCCACAACTGATATATTTATATATCCCTGAACAGTACTGTCAGAACATAAACTGTTCATCATTCATCGTTGATCTTATCAGTATGGCATTTCTTCTGTTCTTGTCACCCTGTAGTAGTGGTATGTTTCCATTACTGCACATAGTACCTAAGTTCATATTTGATTTTTTTAATATGTTTAATTGATTTTTAGAGAGTGAGAGAGAGAGAGAAACATCTCTGCGAGAGAAACATCAATATCAATTGGCTGCCTCCTGCTGGGGATTGAGCCCGAAACCCGGCCATGTGCCCTGAACAGGAATCTACCCAGCAACCTCTCGGTACATGGGTCCATGCTCAGCCACTGAGCCACACCAGCCAGGCTGTTCGATCATTTTTTTGTTCGGTAGTACTGTCTAGTTGAAAGACTCATAGAACTGTCATAACTTAGTTACTTCTTATCAGTCAATTATTTGAATCTAGACGTGTCAGCTTGGAAAATCGTGGTCCTTTTTCCTTTAGAGTTCAAGATTTTTTGGCTGGAGGTTGTTCTGGGTGGTGTTAGAACATGGTGTCCTTTCATGGTATAGGAAACAGTGAGTATTATGATCATTATACTTATTAAATTTCCACATGTAAATTTTGAAAAATTAAAAGTTTTCACTTATCTCTTCTCCTTTTACCTTGATAATTTAATATTTATTTTGAAGGCCGGATGCAGTCCGTAAGATTTATCGCCAGGGGTGCAAACACCTAACTCAAGCAATATGCACGGTAGGATGACACACGCATCTTTTGCTCAAACCGTGAAGTCAGTTCTGCAAGTGATCGCCCTGAATCATTTGTATAAGCTGCCTCGTTAAATTTGGGGATGGCAAGTGTTTCAAAAAAGTAATGGGGGGAATCGCCATTTTAAAACTTATCAACTTTTGTTTATCTTCACATACTGTGGGATGAGAGATGAGTGATCCAAAATCATTTATAAGAAATATGTGTGTATGTACAGGATGGGGCAGAAGTAGGTTTACAGTTGTGAGTACGCCAGTTTATTATCGTATTATTTATTATTGTATTTTCCATACGAACAATAGTAAACCCACTTTTGCCCCACTGTATGTGTGTGTGTATAGTCATACATGTGTGCATGTACATATATGTATATATATATTTGTACATATGTAAATCAGGACAATAGAAGATTTTCTGGTGGTAAAATAAGTAAAGCCTATGTCAAAATCAGGACTCTGAGGTTCTCCGTATTTTCTTCTGGCTGTTGTAGCAAGTCAGGAGTAAAAGTGGGCTTTTCATTTTGGAAGATTGGTCTAAGCCTGCAGCCTAGACATAGTCTCTTGTTTCCCACTCCAAGTCCTTCAGGGTTGTCAACATGCCACCGCGGCCCATCCCCCCGTCAGAGCGCCGCACCACCTTTCTCAGTGTGAACCTTCGTCGCGGTCGCAGCAGGACCGCCACTGACACAAGCTGGCCCTTCAGGGGCCGCGTACCCCCCTCCTCCCGCTCCAGTCTTTCGGTGCGGTCCTGGCCATGCCCTTCTGTTCCCGCTCCTGCCGGCTCCGCTCAGCACCGAGGTTTTTCCTCAGCGGGGCTCCTGACCTTATTCTTGTCTACCTGAAGCAAGAAACAGACAGGTTGCTGCCCCGCCCTTGTAAACTCCCTTGGTGGCATATTTACATGTGACCGATTAGCCTTTTTATCATAATGCGGTACCTCTCTTTATCTCCTGTGATACATTGTGTTTTGAAATCTAGTTTCCTGATATTAATATAGCCGGTCAGGCCTTCTTATGCTTACTGTTTGCATAGCGTTGCTTTTTCTATTTATGTACTTTCAAACTATCTAAAATTTTGTATTTTCTGTCTTTTGTAAGTAGTATGTATTTGGGCCCTTAGTATGCATTCTGACAGTGTTAGCCTTTTAATTAGATTTCTTTTGAGATTGTGTTCCACTTTCTTCTTCACGTGTCAGGTAATTTTGGGTTGTATTGTTAATATTACGGATGTTAAGTTCTGGAGATTCTGGATTGTGTTGTTTTTCTCTGTTAAATGTTATATCCTTGGTTTTTAGCAGGTCATTTTCTTGGCTGGGTTTGGATTGTAAACTGTTTCTTGGACAGCAGCTCCAGTCTGCATTTAGATAGGTTGTATTTAAATGACGGCTCTGAATTAGTTCTGTGCGTCAGTTAGAGATGTGAATAGACAGAGTTTGGGGATCCCTCCTCTGTCTCTTTCCCTTGGGGATTCCCCTGCTCTCTTTAGTATTTATGGCTCCTCAGATTTGCTTTTTTAATTCCCAAAGACAGAAAGACTGGGTTTTTCCACATGTGCCCTTGCTGTTGTATCACCATTGGATTGTACTGCAAAACCTTGAGGATGGGAACTTATTTGCAAAGTTCCCTTTCTTCCAAGAGAACATGCAGGCCCCAGCCCCTCATCAGCCTATCAGCTTCCGTTCACTCTCCAGCTCCTTCAGGTTGTTGCTGTTAGTTTTGTGTCTGCGTTTTATAGTTTTCTGCATGGGGTAAGGGGGCCCTCTGGTAGGGTCTTGAAGGAGAAGTCTATCTCTTTCCATTCTTAAATCCCCTCGCTTTAGAAATTTATATTTTAAAACGACATAATTATTTCTTCTTTTTCTTTACCCCTTTATCGATCTTATGGCCTCCCCCTAAAGGCTTTCTGTGCTCTGCTCAAGCACGGGGTTCCGGAGAGTGGTACGAATAGGAAGCTGGAGCCGTGCTATTTAAAGGCGTTTACAGCCCGAGTTCCGCTAAGCTATGTTTAATAGAAAGAATAAAGCGAAAACTACTGGACTATTAGTGTTTACTCTGGGTAGCTAAAAGTATGAAAGCCAGTGTTGACGCAGGTAACCTACAATGCCTTTGACACTCCTCACATGTCCATTTTACTCCTAATTTTTATCAATTGATATTTTACATGTTGTTCTATTGGAGATAATTAAGTCATGTTAATAATTTTAATTTTATATAGAGAGAATTTTAAGGTTCTATTTTATGTGCATGAGTGGTGTTGTCTTACTGCCTTCTTTATATCCAAGGTCAAATCCAGCGATAGCTGCCTCTTCTTTATTAAATGCTTTGATAACACTCTTCATGGCTTCAAGGTTCCTAAGAATAGCCTTCAACAATCAAGAGAGGTAATTGTTTGGATTCATTTATCTTTCATAAAACTTAAAGAACATTTAGAAACATAAAGAATGCAAGTTCAAAATTAGCAGCCAAAATCTTGCTGATTGTACCTTTTTAATGGGCACCATTACATGAAGCTTCTGAAATTTGGCTTATGAATTAGTCCTTCATCAACATGTATCTGCGGGTATTTTCTCTTCCTAATTTTCTTTTTCATTTTGATTCTGTTAATGTAAGGGGCCTTACAGGGTTTTGGAAAACAAGCCTAAGTGAGTATTTAGTTTGCCTCTAAATTTGTAGGTGAGGAAACTGAAAACAGTAAGATTGTTACGTCCTACCAAGATCTCCAAGGTCACACAGCTTGTAAATGACAGAGCCTGGACTCCAGCCCAGCTGTTCTGATTTATTACAGTGTAGACTCAGTCTTCTTTTTGGTAAATTGAACAGTAGTGGCAAGCAGGNACAGAGCCTGGACTCCAGCCCAGCTGTTCTGATTTATTACAGTGTAGACTTAGTCTTCTTTTTGGTAAATTGAACAGTAGCGGCAAGCAGGANCAGTCTTCTTTTTGGTAAATTGAACAGTAGTGGCAAGCAGGAAATTAGGATTCATGTGACAGAAATTCATAGTGCAGTTATTTAATGGAGAGGCCATATTCTTTCAGATCACAGCAGTATTCATAGAGCCCCTCTTGTTTTTTGTAAATTACGTAAGGGGTTGAAAGAAGCTATCTTCTAAATTGGTTAACTTTGGCCTTTCAAAGAACGCTAAACAATTCAAGTCACAACTGTCCCACCATTTCATAAAATAGCAAGATTTGACCCTGAGTAATACTATAAGAAATGAGGAATAAGACAGGTATTTTTAGGGCAGATGCTCTGTCTTTATGTGACGTCACTGATCTTTTAAAAACATAGTAAAAGTCAAAGCATCAAAGCAGTTGTTGGCTCTCTTAAAATGATCTGAGTTTCTTGTGCTTATAATTTGATTGCAAGTTAGTAAAAGTGTTTCTGGATACATTATTATACAATAACTTATTCATCAGTTTTGAGAACCTAGAATTTTAAGTGAAAAATTCTCCACCCATTACTTAGTTTTTATAACATGGTTAAGTATAAATATTAGTGAATATATAAACTTATACATGATATTTTTTTAAAGTACTAGGAAATTTGTTGTTGTGGTTAATCATCATCCGAGGATACTTTTTCCATTGATCTTTAGAGAGAGTGGAAGGGAGGGAGAGGAGAAGGAGAGAGAAACATCGATGTGAGAGACACACATGGATTGGTTGCCTCCCACATGTGCCCCAGCTGGGGCGAGGATCCAACCTGCAACCCAGGTACATGTCCTTGACTGGGAATCTAACCCGAGACCCTTCTGTGTACAGGCTGAGGCTCCAACCACTGAGCAACACTGGCCAAGGCTGGGGAAAATTTTTTTTTTAATCTAAACATGTCATGGATAAGAGAGATGTCATTATTGCATTGGTTTTTGTTTTCTTTTGGTTTTTTAGGCCATAATATTTTTTTCTTCATATAAACTTTATGCTTTCCAGGTCATTGTCATATTATGTTTTTGAGTAAAAATGCATTTCCCTTTAAATCTTTGGAATATTTCAGGACTGGCTGGAAGCAATAGAAGAGCATTCTGCTTATAGCACTCACTACTGTTCCCAGGACCAAATGACTGATGATGATGAAGAGGAAGATGGAGTTTCTGCTGTGGACTTGAAGGAATCCCTAGAGGTAAATAGGAAAACTTAACCTGACCTTTATAGCTAACTCTCTCATTCAGGTTTACCATGAACTTTGAAAAAAAAATTAATGTGAGGTTTTGAAATTAAGAGTTCTGACCATGGAAATAGTATAGCTCTCTGTACAGTAATATTCTATTTCTATTTCTATTTATAATGTCTGTTATGGTAATACTATCAAATGTCGCTATCCTCTAAGGATGTGGGCATGTGCCTATATGTATCTTTTTTTGTTAAAATTTTACATTGCTGTAATGAGATTGTAATTCTGTTTGTAAACTGCCACCAGTAGGGGGAGCATCGCCTACTTGACTTGCTGCCCTTTATGACTTCACTGCATATTGCAGAGTTTAAATAATGCAACCATAGTGATACATTTCCTGGCCAGTAGTTTTATTTAAAACCACTTGTAATCTGTAAACTTCATTGATTAGAGGTAAGGTAAAGCATTAGTAATGGAGAATCCCTGGTCTCAAGTGACAGCAATGCCTTATCCATATAGAAATAGCAGCATATGTACTTAATTGAAATGAAGTAGGTATTTTTTTCTTGGCATAAATATTTTGGCTGTACCTTTTAAGTGAGATTTGGGTTGGAAGAATTGTAATTAAGGAAGGATGATGAGTTTTGATCCAAATAATTGTGTCAGTAGGCATGTGAATTTGCCTACTAAATTGAATTCTTTTTTTAATGAAGTGAAATACTTGTAGGGCTTGAGTGTTTCTAAATCAACAACTTTAATGAAATTGTTTGCTAATGCCTAAGGAGTTTCCTTAAGGGCCTATAAATTTAAAGAAGAAAGAGCTTTTGAGTCTTTTGATCCCTAGTCTTAATTTATGATTGAATATGAAAGAATTTGAGCTCTTTCATGTTGCATCGAAGACATTCCCCAGAATTTATTGACAGTGGCTTTACAAGTACTACTTCCGCTTCAAAGCCTAATGTGTAATGCGTCAACCATAAACATAATGTTCAGATCAGTGAACTTTGCAAAAGTTACATCTATGACTTGTCTTATACTTCTCTCCCTGTGGGCCTAACCTCAAAGCAGTAACTTAGATAAGACAAGTCATAGAAATATTGGCTTTGTGGCAACTTGAAAATATCCCAGAAATAAAAATTGGAAAAGAAATTTAAACACAGTTATTGGTATAAAACTGTACAACAGTTACTAGATGTATCTGGCTATTTACGTTTAAATAAATTAGAATCAAATTAAAAATTCAGTTCCTCATTTTAACTGGCCACATTTAAGTGCTTATCAGTCACATGCGGCTGCCAGCCTGGGCACTGCAGATACAAGTGTTTCCATCATCGTAGAAAGTTCTATTGGACACAACTGGGCTGTGCTCTTAGATTTGGGATGGTTCTAGCACAGTGGGGGTTTTATTTTTTGGAGATATCTTGAATTCTACAGGATCAGAATTCCTTGTTATAAGAAGTAAGGAGCCGATGATGCTAAATTTTTACCAAATGAGAAAGTACTATCAGACTTTCCCGATTTAAGAATGATTCCTAATTAAAATGAATGTGCAGAAAGATGAATATACATCAACACAGAGCTGATAAAGATTGGTATGTCCATGCAAGAATGAGGCAGTTATAGATACATATGTAAGATTTATTGTTTAGTGAAAAAGACAAGGTATAAAATGCTGTATCTAATATGCTGTTACCTGAGAGAGAAAGAGTAGGGATGTACACACACAAATTAGTGTACGCATAGAACATCCCTGGGAAGATGAAAAATTATTAGCAGTTTTTGCTTTGAGGCTGGGAAAGGGGGGAAAACGGGGTCTCTAGGGCTGATAGGTATGTGAGGAAGAACTGCCTGCCTCTATATTCATGTTTTGTTTTGTTTTTACTTTATGTAAATACCTATTCCTAAATAAAACATGAAGATTACAGAGCAGCACCATTATAATCACCAGGTACCAGAAAGAATAGATGTGTATGGATGACTTAGATTGAGGGAAGATGTGGTGTGGGGTCCTTGAGGTGGGTTTGGCTAGTTAGGAAGATTTGGAGATGAGTACGGGTTACCAGTACTCCCAATACTGGCTGTTTTCTACAAAGAGGAACGTTATCAGAGGTCTACAATCTACTTAGTTAAAAGTTTACATTAATATATCAAGGTACAGTTTTTATACAATAAACTGAATGCATTTTACATCTTCAGTTTGATGTGTTTTGACGAATGTGACAACCACTCCTGTCAAGATGCAGAACATTTTTCTCCCTCACAGAGTCCCTTGTGCCCCTGGCCAGACCCTGCCCTCGGCCGCTGATGTTCTTTCTGTTGTTATAGGCATTGTCAGTTTTGCCTGTTCTAGAATTTCAAGTCACTGGGATCACACTGTATGTGCTCTTTGGTGCCTATCTTCTTTCACTCACTGTGTATCAGTATTGTTGCTTTTGGTGGCTGAGTAGCAGGCAGTCTGCTTCTGTTTTTAATTAACCAAATGTGAATTGTCCGTAGCAAATAGCCTGGAAAGAATGACCATTCTCCTACTCTGCCTGCTCCTCCCTAGATGCCCACCGCCTTGATACACATTTTAAAGCTGTTCCATAGGACAGGGCTCATAAAGTAGTTTAACATCAACTTAAGTCAAACAAAGCCAGCAGCTGACATCTGGGTGGACAGAGGTAGGAGCAGGAGATCTGGGTTGTGGGTGTGGCTCAGCTGCTCACCGGGGGGCCTCTGGGCCCTGTGTCTGTGGGTATAATGCTGTTCTTGTGCCCTGTGCCCGGAAAACGTGGTTTTAAAATGCTGTCACACTTTGGGTATTAGAACATTGCTCATTGTGGGATCCCATTTATGTAGAATAAATAAAAATTAAAACCTAAAAGCAGCCCCTTAATTCACCGTAAGTTTAATGGCATAGAAGTCGAGAATGAGACTCCATGCTGGGCTCTGCAAAGAACTCATAAGCATTAACCTTCATAAATGGATTTTTAGGTTTTTATAATATAACCGATAGCTGCTAAGAGGAAATTAGAGCAAATTGGAGAATGTTATGTTTTATTGTACCTCTTTCTGTTCTTTTTAATGTCAATTAAATGGCACTAGTTGTTCATAACCAGACTCATCTTGTACCCACCTATAAAATAGTATGTGAATATTGAACCTTGTCCAGCTGACCTATTACGGACCTTTTAAAACTAGTAAATCATCAATGAAGGCAACTTTCTTTAGTAAGTGTCAGATAGATATGCTAAGGGAAGATGGAAGTGATTCAGGTGTTCGAGGACGATGCTATGGAGAGTTTCTTGTCTGTAATCATAACCTCAGGAACTATCATGTTTGTTAGAGATTAGCAGTCTGTCCATGAAGCCAGTTCTTCCTTTTATCCATCTGGCTATCACCACAAAAAGGAAAACAGTAGTGTTGACTTGTGCATGGGCAGGACTATTAAATATGTATGGAGAGAAAATGATGAATTTGTATGAATAAGTTATGAGTGTTACATTTGGTTACAGCGCATGTTCTCAGTGCCCCCAGATCGACCTGTCTCCTCCCTTCAACGTGTATTCACACCGTGTCCAAAAAAGCACCCAGCAAACCATTTCACTTTCGGAGGGGTTTTTAATGGCATGGCGTAGGTATTCGAGCTCTCAGAAAAAAGTGAATTAGACTTTTGTGTCCTTAGAGCTCTCAAAACAGACTAACGTAGACTTTCAAGACAACACTGCCTGTCACTAATGTGGTACCATGACTAATTCTCCTCTGGTTGAGCTGAGCGTCATAAGCACTAAAAAATTTATAGGGTGAAAGAGGAGAAAAGGGTGCTTACCTGTGTCACCTGGGCGCATAGCCCTGATGGGGGGTCACAAATGTTTAGTGAGGGGCGAGCGGAGATTAGGAAGGAAAGGAGGGGAGACAGACTGCCTGCAGCAGTGCGAGTCTAATGTCAGTAAGGCCACGGTTCTCGGAATACATTTTGTTGGTTAATCCTCACCTGAGGATATTTTTTCCATTGCTTTTCAGAAAGAGCAAAAGGAAGGGAGGGAGGGGGAGAGAGAGAGAGAGAGAGAGAGAAACATTGATGTGAGAGAGACGCATTGACTGGTTGCTTCCTGCGCTCGCCCTGAGCGGGGTGGCAGTGAGCCCCCCCAGGTCCGTGCCCTCGGCCGGCACCCCTTCGGTGTGGTGTGCGGGCCGACACTAACCGCTGACTCACACCGGCCGGGGCACAGTGACTATATTTTATTGCCATAACCAATCAACTTTACAATGACAGATTTCTTACTTATTCTTCCACCTTTTGAAGGGGAAACTATAAATAGAATTAACTCTAAAGTTAAATTGTTATTATAATAAATGGATTTATCTGATTTTTCATTTTGAACTTCCAAATATATACTAAGATGGGGTGGGGTACAGCTTACACCATGACACTCAGTATGCTTTGCTTTTAGGGATCTAAATATGGAGAAATTTCAAATTACAAGGAAGGAGGCTTTCTGTAATTGACTTCGCCTCATTTTCATAAGCTTTTTCTTACTAAGAAAATGTCCTTATTTGTCTCATTTTGTGGAGGCTGTGTGCAGTTAGATTGCTGAGTGGAAATCAGCTTTTGATTTCTAAATGTTAGCACCATCTGGATTTTTAAAATAGTTTAAAAAAATACATTAGGGAATGTATTTTAGAATTTCTCGATGAATTAAGCCAATTAAAAGTGTTAATAAATCAGAGAAATCTAACTCTTCAGATATATATGGTGTATTGCTATGAGGAGTAGTTAACACAGTTGTATGGTATCTGTACAACAGATATTGAATATATTTAGAACTTAGAAATATTTATTTATATTAATCTGTATGTTATTAGCAAAATGTTATATTCAATTTTAAAGGAAATTTTCTCTCACCATTTTCTCTGTTAGGAATATATCTTAATTATTATAGTGTATCAATCTATGAGCTAAAAGTTTTGATAGCGTATTAGATCATCTATAATATAAAAATCTCATATTAGTTTGTTTTAACTTTGTCTTTTTTGTGTGTTTTCTTTTTCTTTTCCAGAAAGCACAAACATGCCAACAAAGACTAGATAGGGAAATTTCCAGCTTTCTCAAAATGATTAAGGAGTGCGACATGGCTAAAGGTAATAAAAAAAGATAAATACTACAAAAAACCCCCACACCCCACTACTCTTTAACACAACACATTATCATTAGATGTTCACCTTTGTAGTTTTGATTATATACTTTAGATAATTTCTGGTTTTGAATTCACTCCATTTGATAAAACTTTTTTGAAATTTTATAAGGGCTACTTATGGAGTAGGCTTGCTTTATAGATTAAAATGTCTATTTTAAGAAAAAAGTCAAAGCTGATATTTTGGGGATGTAAATGCATTTTGTCTGTGTAATAAGAATCCCTCTTGTGAATCTTAGAGACTTGGAATTTGGAGTCAAACTGTCTTGGGTTTGAATCCTTGCTCTGCCACCTACTAGCTGTTACTTTGAACAGTGCATCTAGCTTCTGAGCCTCAGTTTCCTCATCTGTGAATGAAGGGGTTGGTTGTTTCCAGGTCTTGACTTTTTATGACTCTATGAATATATACACAAACTTATTTAGCTAATGATTAATCTACCATTCAACTTTTTATGTCTTCCCTTTCCATTAGTTATTATGAGTTTACTATAAATAGTTCAAAAACCAAAATACAGTTCAATATAAAATGCAATATAAAATCCAATACAAAAATTAAGTATTGAAAAATATCATTATTACTTTGTAAATTAAAAAATTGCTCCACAGAATAACTGTGATGTCTTTATAAATAATTTCACTAAAATATAATTGATTTAGTAGTCTATGAGTTTATTATTAACTCTCAATTTTAATCATGAACTAGTTTCCCTCAGGGAAGTCCTAGGTTCAGTTTATATGTGCCCAGAGAATGTGAAGAAATGTTAATATTAGAGTAACTGAGCATAAATATTCTCTATCTGTCCAGATGTACCTCCAGCATCCCTTTATTTCAGTTTAACAGACAGTTTATTTATATCAGCAGTGATAGCTGTGGGAAGGACAGCAGTTAGGTCATTCTGGTTATTAATTGTAGGCTAGAATATTGTGTTACTTAGTACTTTTCATCCTCAATGGACTTTTAAAATAACAGCTTCATTAGCTATAATTCACATAGCCTAAGATTCACCTATGTGAAGTGTATCACACAGTGGTTTTAGTATGTACACAAACTAAGACCATTAATGGGCTCTTAAAATATCATCTTTACAAAGAACCATCAAAAGTAAGGAGATACAACATTTAAAAGATGTAGAACCAGAGTGAGATGAAATATAAAGATTAATTCCCTTAACTTGCACCAAAGAAAAAAATTAGAACTACAATTTAAGTTTTGTTTTGTTTTTTAAACCTTGAGTCAAATCTCTTGGTTCAGTTTGTCTCTATGCATGTCACTCATAATGATGGTGTGAATCATTTGTGCTCTTAGAGATATGCATAACATTCATTACCACAAAAGAGATATTTCATTTTGGACATTGCCATCTGGGAATTTTGAGATGTTTGACTATGATCTCACAACCCTATTTCATAGCTCTATAATAAAATTCAATCAACTTGTATTAAGTTATAAACAACAATTATAAACACCATTTCCTGAAAGGTTGGTGTATATAAATAAAACTACAGCTTATACAAATAGTANAACAACAATTATAAACACCATTTCCTGAAAGGTTGGTGTATATAAATAAAGCTACAGCTTATACAAATAGTAAGTAAATAGGATTAAGATGATTTCATGGATGGAATTGGAAGAGTTGAAGGTAATGGAGTTGTTCTTAATGCCAAGGGATTATACAGAGTTATCATGCACCATGTGTCTTATTAAAGGGAGCTGATAGGTACACATCCTGTTCCAGACTGTCTGCATAGTTTGCCAATGATGTCTCACGATGAAAAACTAAAATGTTTGTGGACAGAGTCCAGATCTTTTGGTTGAAATTGTCTAATATTTTAGTATAAAATTGTTTGAACTTTAAGATTCACTTCCCTTCTCTCTTCTTCAGACTTCTACCATTGTAGTTCAGCTCTTTATCACCTCAAACCCTGATGACTGCAGCAGCCTGCCCTTTACTGTCCCTGCCTTCCATCCTTAAAGGGAATTGAATCAGAAGACTTTCAGGAACTCTTCCAATTCAAATTCTGTGCAATGCTGCTTTATTGCTTGCCAAATTAATTTTAGAAAGGTGCTTTTTTGATCATACTTTTTTTCTGTTGACAAAATCTTTTCTGGGTCCTTGAAATGATGGAATGAAATGCAAACTCTTTTATCCTGGAATTTAAGGGTTTTTATAGCCCATTCACAAACCTGGTTTTTCCAGCACTGAGTCAAAGGGTATTGGGTCCATGATGGCAGAAAAATATACTTGGGACAGTGAAACAAGAAAGAGCATAGAAGGAGCGACAGGAGAACCTAGGCTGGGCTGCCCTGGCTCACTGGGAAGCCAGAGAGGGAAGGGGCCTTGGAGACAGGTTCAGGGGGTAAGCCTGGGATGAGCTGCCGCTGCCCATTGCTCCCCTCGTTGCAAGCCTTGTGGGGTCCCCTCAGAGGGAAGAAGGGAAACAGAGATGGCACTGGTGTGCTCTCCTGGTGGGTAAGGAGCACTGGGTCCTTTGTCCTGAGTGTATTTATCTCTTTCTTGCAGGTGGGAATCTGAGGGGAGGTCTCAGGGGAGGGTCTCAATAGAATATGCATCAGCTTTCCAGGTGAGCTCTTTCAGGGTTGTGGTCTCCACTGATTGGTCAGTGCCAGGGCAGGGGGTCATTAGTTATTGTAGCTGGTCCTGAGGCAGCCACTTGTCTGGTTTTGCTGCTTTCCTGGACCTGGAGCTGAAATACAGCTGAGGTCTAGATGTTATCTTTAGGGAGGGAACTCTCAGGGGTTTGAACCTCCTGCTAGGGGAGGATAGGTTACCCTGGGGACGAGGTTCTTGTTTTCCTAGTTTCACCCCTTGCTAGGCATGTGGGGCTTCCTGCCCTGGTGAGTCTCTGTACCTGGCCCGTCTAACAGTTCTTACCCCTTATCTATCCCTTCAAATATTGCTGCTTCATTCCTTCCATTCTCTTCTGCCAGAACTTTCATGGACATGTGTTGAATCTTATTTTACCTCCCACCTCTTCGTTTCTCATTTCTATTTTTCTGTGTTACATTCTGAGTAATTTCTTAGATCTATTTTCTAGTATTAGTTTTTTTCTCAGTTGGATTTATTTTTCTATTTAATCCTTGACTTTATAATTTTTGTGACTTTATAATTCTAGAAATTCTAGGTGGTGGATTTTAAAATTTTTACTTTTCCTATAGGGACTTTTTTCTCCCCCAAATAACATGTATATCTAAATTTACCTAGACTATTTTAAACATAGACATTTAAAGCCCTTTTCTTGGAATGCTTTTATGTCTCAAGTAGTTGTGGAGCTAATTCTGTTGTTTGTCTGCTAAGTGTCCCTGGGGTGGACTGTTCTCCTCACAGTGGATTATGTAACTTCTTATTGAGAGCGCATCTTCAGGGGTGCTTGTTTTTTTCTGCCTCCTGGACTAGAGAAGTGTCCCTACAGAGTAGTTTTGTCTCTGTTTCTGTTAGAGTTGTGAAGGTTCTTGTGGTCTGGGCTAACAGTTTTAAAACTGGATTTCATACTTAGGTGTGGCTCAAGCTAGGGGTTCTTCTTTCTCATGATTCCCACCCAGAGAATAGGCAGAAAGCACCCTTTTCCACTGCTTCCCTGAGCCCAAGGGCAGTTTTTTCATTTTTCGCCTGGGGGCGTCTAGCCCTACACAAGGCCTTGCCCGGTTGCTCTGTGAGAGCAGAGCCATGTCTCCTCCTCTCAGGTAGGTGTGAAAGCTCAATCCCTGGGGTCTGTGACATCCACCTCTGTCCTTGGCCTTCCCCACCCAGGCTCCACTGGCTTAGGCTCGTTTTATCAGGTTTGACTTTTTCTTTGTTTTCTAGCATATCTGGGAATTTGTTCCTTCAAACTCTGCTGTGTATTATTTTATTCAGCACCTTTTTTTTTTTTTTTTTAAATATATTTTTACTAATTTCAGAGAGAGGAAGGGAGAGAGAGAGATAGAAACATCAATGATGAGAGAGTCATTGATGGGCTGCCTCCTGCATGCCCCCTACTGGGGATCGAGCCCGCAACCTGGGCATGTGCCCTGACCAAGAATTGAACCCCAATCTCCTGGATCCTAGGTCGATGCTCAACTGCTGAGCCACGCCCGGCCAGGCTTATTCAGCATCTTTATGGTGGGGGTTGGAGGGATGATTCCCTATCAACTTAGCCTACCAGGTGCCACAAGTGTCCCATTCTCTAATATGAAACATATCAATAATCCAAAATTTTTTTTATATAGAATAATAGCAAACACGTAATAGCCTTGTGTGCATTGTTCTGTGTACTTTATATATATTAATTCCTTGTAACTACCCTATACAGCACATATAACTGTTGTGTCCATTTTACAGATAAACTAACTGAGGCATAGAGAGCTTAGGTAAATTGCCTAAGGTCACACAGCCAGTAAAAACTTAAGTTAGGGTTCTTTTCTAGGCAGCCTGACTCCAAAGTCTGCTCTTAACCAATAAGGAGTCTAGAACAAATCGAGAATTCTATATTTAACCCTACAGTTTGGTCTATGAACTAAAAAAGTTTACAGATATGTACCTAGATGGACAGTGAAAGGCAGACGTTGAGAACAATCACATCAGCTGGGCTCCTGCAGTGGAGGTGGTGGGCAAACCCTCATGGTCCTCCTAGCCAGACGTTGAAGGGGGGAGGGTGGGATTGATGAGAGCAGAAGTCTCCAGCTCAAAACACAGAAATTCTCTTCATTTTTCCTGCCAGTGTTTTTTCTCCTCTTGTCCTGATGTTCTTTCTGGCATTACTCATTTTAAAGACTGATCGCTAATTCACGCAATTTCTTTCTACTGTACCTCTTCTCTCTCTGATGTATCTCTAGTTGTGCCCTTCTCTGTATCCCCTACCGGTGCTAAAATAGGCCACAGCTGTTTTTCCTGTAAGCTACAGTAACAACTTCTTGTCTGGCCACACTGCCTCCAGTTTTATGTTCCTCTATTTCCTCTGTGGAATATTCCAGGGTGTAGTTGGAGAGATGCTGTTCAGCGGGAGAACTTTCAAAAATGAATAATTATTATTTCTAGTATTCAGGGAAGAGGAAACATCTTGAACAAAGGTTTGGAGGCAGTAAGATAGAAGACTATTTCTAGGAAAACAAATATTTACAGGAAAACAGTCTGCTGAAACTGACTGAGCTTGTGAAGAGCCTTAAATGTTAGGCTGTAGACTTTTTCTATATTAGAAGAACAATGGAAGTGATCTGTGTTAGGGTTTAGTTTATTAACATAACAAGAAACAAGTATTTCCTTAATAGTTTAAAAGCTTACCCAAATAAAAATTATATAGTGATCATGAAAATGACAGACTGGGAGCTTTTTATGTCTTTTGAAGATAAGCTTTTTACATGATATTCTGGCATCTTTCCTGAGTTCAAAAATAATTTTATTATAAAAAATAACATTTTTTTCTCAAAATTAGGTGTCCAATTTTTAGAGTAGGCCATTATGGTAACACACTGGCCATTTTGCATTTATTCATTACAGTTTGGTCTCTAAATATTAACTGACTAAAACAGTTGCAGGGATTCCCAGTTGGTAACTTTTCAAGAAGCTTATTAGCAAGTTTATTTCTCTTTGTATGACCATATGCAAGCATCATTATATAAGGCACATGTGTGTGTGATCTGCCTCACCCTCCTGCACTGCAAAGTCCGTCCGTTCTTACACCAGGCCACTGTGCAAGTTAACATTAATTTCAGAATCTTGTTTAAACACAAGATTGCCAGAGAAATTAGGTAACTTTTGACTCTGTTTTGGACAGAAGAATTTGATACTCTCTCAATAATGAATTCTTATAAAAACTTAATGTGTATTTCTTGGAATGTCTTTTGAAACAACCTTGCAGAATCACTTTTGTTTAAAAACTTGTAAGGATTCTGATGAATCTCAGAGGGAAGGGGGGATGGGGGATGGGAAGAGATTAACCAGAGAATTTATATGCATATTTGCATAACCCTTGGACACAGACAATAGTGCGATGAAGGCCTTGGTTGGGGGGGTGTCAGTGGGGGAGAAAAGGGGGACACCTGTGATACTTGCAACAATAAAGAAAATTTTAAAAAACTTGTGAGTGTTCTTAAAAATTTTGACAGTTAATGTTTGTTTTATGCTAATCAATGTTTATCTAAAGTGTGAAATACCTAAACCATGACAGAATTGGAGATGATTAAGCATGTGATGGCATTTAATAAAATAAATAACATCCATGAATGACCGTGCTTCCATCTTCCTATCATTTGTTCCATGGAAGTGGAAAGTTACTAGATTACCCAGAACATTTATGGAAGGCAGAGGCTGAGTCTGTTTTTTCTTGTACATCTCCTCTTAGTACTCAGTCTGCAGCTCTGTGAGAGACATCTGTTGAGGCACTATTTAAATCAGCTGGCACCTAGCATATGGTATTCTCATTTGCTGTTTAGCAACTAAGTACAGAAGAAATATTCACAATGTATCAAAGATTCAAAATGAAAATAAAGTATGNAAGATTCAAAATGAAAATAAAGTCAAATTTATTTTAGAATATAGTAGTTATCATTTGGGTGCTATTAAGAGTAGCTAACTGTAGGAAACTATTCTGCAAGATGAAAAATATAAAATGTCATTTGGTCTTTATAATCAGATATGAATGAAAGGTGGTTTATAGCTTTATTCACTCTGACCTTTTCTTTTTGGTTGCCCACCTCCACCGTAGGAGTTTTGAGAAATAATTTTTCCAAGAAAAGGACTTTTCTTTGCTAAGATAAATCATGTTTATGTAGAAAATTTGGAAAATAAAAAACATTGAAGACTATTACTCACAATTTTGTCACCTAGAAAATATGGCCGAAAGTAATTCATTACAAGTTCTTGTAGATTTTATTGGCTCTTTTTATTCCTCATCTGGAATTTTTTGTTTCTTTACGGGACCCACTGTTTTATGGCCTAAGTGATTGCAATTTGCTGGCATTCGGATTTACTTGATTGCTTTTGTTGATGACCTTGTTGACCATCCTTTTAGAATAGCGTTTTGAGTAAGGCTCTTTGAAATACAAAGGATGCCACTGATTTAATTGTCTTTCTCCTTTTAAGTTATTTTTTGATGAAAAGCTTTCTTAATGTTATGATTTTTATTTGATGGAAGGAGAGACATTTAAAGGGTCTTAATGTATAATTAACATAAATTCCAAAACTATTTTAACTAAGTACATTTCCCTTGCATTAGTCTGGAAAGGATATGACATTTTACTTGTTTTTTAAGCGATGTGTGTGCATTTTGCAGCTTTTTCTTGCCAACATTTTTGTTTTTTGTTTTTGTTTTTTGTTTTTGTTTTTTGTTTTTTTATAATGGGTAAATGGATTAAGATTTTTTTTTAGGGCACCTGGGAAATTATTGATTCAGTAGCCTTTCTGTATCTGTGGGGGACTGGTTCCAGTACCTCCTCAGATACCCAAATCTGCAGATGCTCAAGTCCCTCATGTAAAATGGCATAATGTTTGCAGATAACCTACGCTCAGCCTCCTGTATATTTCACATCGCCTGTATACTTTAAATCATCTCTAGAATACTTACAATACCTAATACAGTATAAATGCTATGGAAATGGTTATACTGTATTGTTTAAGGAATAATGAGAAGGAAAAAAGCCTGTACTTACAGGCTTAACTAGGATAGTATATCCCAGCAACAACGTAACATTTCTTTTCCGAATCTTTTCCATCTGCAATTGGTTGAATTCTCGGGTGTGGAACCTGTGGATATGGAAGGCCAACTGTATTACCAATTCTTTGTTCCCATCTTAAACGTACACTAAAAAATACAGAAACTACAGGGACAGACACACTAAAAGATACTGAAACTCTACAGGGACACATTTTTGAGAGTGAAAAGACCTGTTTATGCCAAACATCCAAATAAGAACTAGAGGAAGCTGAGTCAGTGCCACCTTCAGATATGTTGGCCATCATGTCAACTACAGAATTATTTTTGTCTCTTTTTAGCAGTTTGCTTTTGAATAAAATTACTAGCATAGAATATCATGAAAGGAAATTTAATGTTTTACAGCTAGTGTTGTTGTTCCTTGTCAGCTGCTTATCTTAAACATTATATTATTATTTATCCTATAAACTTGCTTTTAGTTTGGCTCTTATAGGATATAGGCCTTTCTAGGACAAGGCTTCATCCCTTTTTTTTTTTTTTTTTACCAATTTATGTGCCCTGCATATAGTAGGTGCTTAATGAGGCCCAAGGATCATTCTTGAAAGGTTAAGGTCGGTGGTGCGAGGGCAGGCTAAATAGCCATCTCAGGTCAATAAAGAAAAATCAAGTTTATTAAAAGGGGACGGGGCTATCCAAAGGGAAGGGCTACACAGCACTGAACCAAAGGGTATGAGGTCCATGATGGCAGCAAAAATATACTTGGGACAGTGAAACAAGGAAGGGCATAGAAGAAGCAACAGGAGAGCCTGGGCTGGGCTGCTTGGGCTCCCTGAGAAGCCAGAGAAAGAAGGGGGCCTTGGAGACAGGTTCAGGGGGTAAACCTGGGATGAGCTGCTGCTGCCCATCGCTCCCTGGTTGCAAGTCTCCTGGGGTCCCCTCCGAGGGTAGAGGGGGGTTGGAGATGGAGATGGTGCTGGTGTGTTCCCCTGGTGGGGAGCATGCACTGGGTCCTTTGTCCTGAGCCTATTTATCTCTCTCTTGCAGGTGGAAATCTTAGGGGAGATCTCAGGGGAGGGAGGGTCTCAATAGAATAAGGATCAGTTTCCCAGGTGTGCTTTTTCAGGGTCGTGGTCTCCACTGATTGGTCGGTGCCAGGGCAGGGGCATTAGTCAGTGCAGCTAGTCCTGAGGCAGTCACTGTGTCACTTGTCTGGTTTTGCTGCTTTTCTGGGCCTGGAGCTGAAACACAACTGAGGCCTAGATGTTATCTTTAGGGAGGAAACGCTCAGGGGATCTAAACCGCTTGACCAGCCATATGCTAGGGGAAGATAGATTGCCCTGGGGACAAGGTTCTTATTTTCTTTCTTGCTAGGCATCTGGGGCTTCCTGCCCTGCTGAGTCAGTGTCCCCCGGTTTCTGTACCTGGCCCATCTAACAATATTGTATGTTTTGTTTAAGGTGGCTGGAAGACAGCATGAAGTTAGTAGCTATAAAAATATGTGGTCATAGTTTGCTCTGATTACTTAAAATCCCACTTATTNATATTGTATGTTTTGTTTAAGGTGGCTGGAAGACAGCATGAAGTTAGTAGCTATAAAAATATGTGGTCATAGTTTACTCTGATTACTTAAAATCCCACTTATTTGTGTGTTTTTTATAGAGATGCTTCCATCATTTCTTCAGAAAGTTGAAGTTGTCTCTGAAGCTTCTAGAGAAACCTGTGTAGCTTTGAGCGATTGCCTTAATCTCTTCACTAAACAAGAAGGGGTAGGTATTGTGGAACTGAAATTTTTAGCAATTGTTTGGCTGTCACTTACTGGATCGTCCAATGAGTCACTGCTTTCAAAATGTGCAAAGGTAGGAGAAAATTGTATTAATAAAGGAAATGAAGGCTTCATTCGTCATCACATTTTAGAACTTACTTAGTTGGCTAGTTATTTATTTGAATTTTTATAAGTTTAATTTGAGCCAAACTGATGACATATGCCAAGGAACAAGATCTCACGTGCTCCCAGAGCTTATTTATTTTTAATTAAGCAGGATGGGGCTGAAGTAACTTCTGTTCATATCACCTAATTCATTTATATAGCCGTATTTAACAAGTATGTTTTAAAGTTCTTAGAGTGAAATGTTTCAATAGGGTTATGAATATATTTCTAGAAATCAAAGGTCTTTATATGAAAACTATTAATACTTTTATTTAGAGAATAGAGTGCTATCATACTTACCTATGTGAACTGAACTCAGTGGGTTAAGTGTTTTTTGTGACCTTTTTCCTCACTGTCTTCCATGCAAAGATTTGCCATTTGCTTTTCCAAATATGAGTAAGAGTGGTATGCTTGTCCATTAGTAGCTCTTTTCCTAAAGACTGAAAAGTTGTAAAGATGAGTTTTGGTTGCCTGAAATAGATTTTTTTTCTTGTTTTATGTCCCCCTCCCCCCATTTTTATGATTTTAATGCAAGGTGAGTAGTAGGGGATCTTCTTTCCCATTTTGTTAATTTCTACTATATGTATAATCTTCAACTTTTTAGATTGACACCACCAGATTTATTATTCTCGTTACAATTTATGTGTTCCATTGAGTGAGATTAGATTTTGATAAAACAGGATAGATGAATATGGTTTTACTATGTTTCTCTTATATGTAAAGATCTAAAATTTTATTTTCCCATGATTAGAATAGAAGCCTTGTGAGGTCATACAAATTCCTAAATGCTATGTTTGTTAACCACGGATTTCATATATTTTATTTGGAGAATAAGAAAAAATATGTAAATAATCAGAATTTGTTTAAAAGAAACTTATAGAAAGTCAACAGAATTCTGTTAATGCAGGAAAACATGTACTTTTTTAAACATTTTAACCCTTTGTGGTCATATTAAATTTGGACATAGGTGTCGTACTGGTCGGAATTAAGAGCTTTCAGAGAAATTATGAACTGATACATGAATGAATAGAGTTAAGGTTCCTTGCTGTGGTGGCTGAGAGCAGACATACAACCGGAACGGTAAAAAAGCTTTGGTGGCTGAGAGTAGACAAACGACCGCAAAGGGTTAAAAGGTTGATTCTTCTAATATTGTTTGAAGATATCCTCTCTCAGCATTTGTCGTTGGTGGTTTGCAGACTTAATATTCTAGCTTATTTAAATGAGGAATGATTTAGTGATCCGAATAATGTAAATAGGATGATAGCATTGATGTCATGGGTTTCAGGTACTATTAGAGTGAAAACCAAATTTCACTCACATCTTGTATGTGGTACCTGATGTATTTGGTAACTTTTGTTTTGTTTTGTTTTGTTTTGCTTTAGAGATGTACAGTTTTAAGGTGAACACTAGATTAGAAATAATTTAATTTCTGGAGAAGCGAACCTATGCTAATTTTAAAACGATTTGTTTAAAAAAGTAGCCTAGGTAGTCACCTCTCTGAAAATCCAGATGTATAAGAGTATTAGCTTAAAGTTTAGAGTAATTAACCTCATTAGCCTTTTAAACTTGTCATGTGGATTGAATAAGATAATATAAGCAAAATGCTTAGCATAGTTCCTGACACAGTCATCCCTGAGTGAAAGTCAGCAGTTTCTATTGTAGGATGCTCACTAACGCTTGTGACCCCTTCTTCGGATGCTCTCTTGGATCTTTTGTGTCTTTAACATTGGATTTATCTTTTAGGGGGGAGGAGGTGGTGGTGTCTAAAGAAAATCTGACTGTATGTATGGAATGATTGTGTCGTTTCCTTCATTATTTAAGTGATGATGGACTACTTCACGTTCTTGAACCTTGATAGCTTCAACTTTCAAATAAGGGAGACCATATAGAAAGTTGTTAAGAGCACCGGTCTGAAAGTCTAATGGACCTATTTTATTTAATTATTTATTTTTATTTTATTTAAAAATTTATCTTTATTGTTGAAAGTATCATAGATGTCTCCCTTTTCCCCCCCCATTGACACTACCCTTCCCCCAGCCTTCACCTCTTTTAAATGTCAGTCTTTTCCCTCTAACCAGTTGTGGGATCCTGGGCAAGTTTCTGGTAAAACAAAAAAATATAAATGTCCCAGAGTTGGGTGTGGGAATCAAATACGTGTAGATGAGTAGTATGTCTACAGAGCATATTAGCACATCGTGTGGCTTGCGGTAATCATTTAGTAAGTGCCGGTTATTGCTTCAAACTTTTAGAATATATTTAGATTACTTTTCAGTAATTCTAAGAAATATCAACTCTGTGAGACCCTCAGTGACATTCATAGATTTTCTTCTGAGAAATATGAGTATAGACAATGAGAAGGCCTTTAAAATATTTGAAAGATAAACAGCATCATTGAAGTTACTCTTTCAAATGACTAAGAATTACAACCAAGGAAATGAATAGCTTCACTGAGACCGTAGTGGAATAACTATGGACTGTGTAATTCCTTGTTATCCAGCATCATAAACTGTACTTCTGTTATTTGCACATGTTATTAAAAGAGCAGTCAAAAGCTTTAAACTCACATAGATGTGGGTCTAATTCTTGACTCTGCTATTTAATCTCTCTTTACCTCAGTTTTTAAATACAATCTCCTTTTTAAAGTGATAACCAACCAAAAAATAGTGTTTTGAAGAGTAAATGAGATCATATTGGCAAAACACCTTGTATAGTACCTGGCATAAAGGAGGGACCCGATAGATGTAAATGATCCCAATCCCCAGGGCAGAGTAACTGTTTTTATTCTAATCTTTGCTTGATGACAGTTATTCTAAATGTTTGACATTTATTTATTTTAATTATTGATTTTAGAGGAGGCCGTGGGNTGACAGTTATTCTAAATGTTTGACATTTATTTATTTTAATTATTGATTTTAGAGGAGGCCGGGGGGGGGAGAGAAAGAAAGAGAAACATCGATTTGTTGTTCCACTTATTTATGCATTCATTGGTTGATTTTTTTTAAAGTATATCTTTATTGATTTCAGAGAGAGGAAAGGAGAGGGAGAGAGAGAGACAGAAACATCAATGATGAGAGAGTCATTGATCGAGCCTGCAACCCGGGCATGTGCTCTGACCGGGAATCGAACCCCGATCGCCTGGATCTCAGGTTGACGCTCAACCGCTGAGCCACGCCCGGCTGGGCTCATTGGTTGATTCTTGTATGTGCCTTGACCAGGGATCAAACCCTCAATCTTGGTATATGGGGACAATGCTCTAATCAACTGAGCTACCCAGCCAGAGCCTCACATTTATTTCTTAAGCTAAATTTAATATTAGTTTTGGTTTCAGGTGTACAACATATTAATTCAGCATTTATATACCTTATGGTGTGATCATCACAATAAGCCTAGTGACCATCTGTCACCATACAAAATTAATTATGATGTTATTAGCTATTTTCTCTGTGGTTCCTTATGGGTTTAAAAAAAATTCTGTCTGATTTTTAGATCAACTGTGTGCCTGCCTCTAGCCAAGGAATACTGATACCTTCTGATTTACTCTTTAAACCTCATGTTTATTAAAACGAAAACCAAATAAACCAACTTGGTAAAATTATGTCACAGTAAGAGTAATCTGCCTCTTTGTGAGAAACTTAAGGGTTTACAATGAGCACAGGCCTGAGTGCCTGGATTTGGGACCTTCTATTTCTGTGTTATGTGGGTGTTATTTGCTTACTTGGGAATNGAAACTTAAGGGTTTACAATGAGCACAGGCCTGAGTGCCTGGATTTGGGACCTTCTATTTCTGTGTTATGTGGGTGTTATTTGCTTATTTGGGGACGCTCTGATATGACCCAGATACTTGAGGATTCCATATGACCGCTACATAAATGAGGTGTTACATAGACATATTTTATATGTAAGTAACACTACTTGTGTTGAAAAAGAAAGCTGCAATAAAATCTGTAAAGTTTGAGATTGATGTACTAAAGGAAAACGTACTCGATTTTTTTAGGGTGATATACTTTGGAAATATAATAGGGTCCTATTGAAAAGGCTAGAAACTGGTTTCATGAATTATGTTTGTTTCTGTAGTTGTCCTCACCAGAGGGTGGAATCAAAGTGGTTAAAATGTCACACAGAGGCCATCATTGGTTCCCTTCCCGTTGTGTATTAGTGAGCTCCCCTTGGTGTTAGTCAAACCTGTTTTTCCAAGGTAGGGACTTGCCGACTTAAAGTTAGTGTGAGCTCACATGTAAGGTATTTATACTTCCATGTTAAATCTCCTAACTGCTAAAGAGCTGTAACCCAAATGTGTGATTGGAATGCTAGTGATGCTAGGTTTGTGACGTAATGGAAAGATCCAGACTAAACTGGAACCATCCGAAAGGTGCTGCTACCCTGAACCAGATGCCTATGTCTCTGGAGATGTATCATGCCCTCACTTGGACTTGTAACTCTAACGTCATGGTCTCTAACATTCACGTAGCTTCCTGTGCTGTTCAGAGCCCTTTAGTCATTGTGTGTCCCTGGCCCCTCATGTTTATACCTTTCAGGCCTTCCCCTCTGCCTCACCCCTCTAGTTTCCTCATCCCCTTCTCCTCTGAGCAGAATTCTTTATTAACCACTAGGCAATCGTTGTACCTGCTGACAACTCCCTACCACTCCCTCACCCCAGCGTCTGTCTGTCTCCTTTCCTTTCATTGGAGGTGTCTGTCCTCCATTCTGCTTCCAGATCAGCGCCTCTCTCCCCCTGAATCCGCTACCCCCTGACAGCTTCTGCCTTCCCTGGACCCTTTCCAATTCCAGTTTGAAAGGGTGATACCTTGTTTTTACTTCCTTACTCCTCTGCTAGTCCAC